GAGAACCGTCGTTAATGCTGCCCGAAATGTTCCAATATGTTATGATTGACAAATGGCAATAGAATCTCGTCTGAGATGCGGGTGAATCAAAATTTGGATAAAAGAGAATATCAATTTGATGATAGTGGAGATTATTTTATAATTTTATTACAGGTATTACTGCCCCATAAAAGCCGCACAAGAAGACTAAGCAATGACTATATATTCAACAAGGAATCCGTTTGGGACAGTAGTTTTGGCTTTGTGGCTAGTAGCTGTAGTCAAACCGCTAACGGTAAGTATTTAGTGTGTGTTTGGTGCAGCTGGTAAGAAGTGCTTTTGTAGGCTAAAAGGTCCAGCTGCACCAAACACCCAAACTTTTGGAATTTACTTCTGCTGCTGGGAAGCTGATACGAGCTTCCACCTTTTGAAAATGAGGAAGCACGAAATTGAAGCTTTTGCGCGTGCTTCTCGCTTCACTTTAATGAAATTTACCCATTATACCTATTTTACCCTCATATTTTACCAAATTTACGATTAAACCACTATATAAACACAGTTAAATACCTCATTTTCGCGTCTCCCTCTGCCGATGGGTCCTCTCTTTTCATCTTCTCCATTTGCCGCAAAAACCTCCCTTTCTCTCTTTTCACTACCCACAATCCTCAATCCCCAGTTCGCTACTTCTTGGGGGGTTTTGTAGAGGTTTTCTCCTACTCATTTCATTCGACTATCCGATTTCTTTACAAAAGAAAGATAGCAAGAATAGACTGAGGGACTGAAAGAAGGAGATGGGTTCTCTACAAGATGTGTCAAGGAAAGGAAATAGACGAAAAGACGAGGGAGAAGAGGTAGAGGGAGAGCCAATATTGAAGCAGCAAAACCAGAGGTTTTGCATGTTTCCCATTAAGTATCCGCCCCTTTGGTAGATGTACAAGAAGGCTGAAGCCAGTTTCTGGACCGGTAATTCCTTTTCTTTAGTCTTGTATCTCATAAAATTTGCCCCTTTTTTGTTTTAGTTCTTGTTTCATCATTTTTTTTTTTAATTTCTGGAGTTCTGTTGTTGTGTTTCTGTGTTCTAAACTAGTTGTGGTCATAGCAATTTCTCATATTTATAGGAAAGGAATGGAATTTTTAGTTAATTCACAGTTTGGGGTTGAATAAGAAGCATTATTGAAAGTGGGTTCTTATATTTGCATCTTAAAGTTGTATTCAGTGTATTATATTATTTATTGCATTGATGTTAACATCATTATAAGTATGTTTATAGGTGTTACAAGTTGAGATTTTGAGTTTTGGGTTTTTCTTGTTTATATTCCAAAATGGTCACTGCTATTGGGGGCTCTCGAAGGCTCGTCTCAAATCAATTTTAGAATTTCTTAGCGTTCTTTTTTGTTGT